AAAAAAAAAAAAAAAAGGAGGAGGACATGACCAAAGAAAAGCCCCAAACACTTAATATAAGTATATATTCATGCTTCTCAGTCATGCTCAAAATGGAGGACGTTTTGGAATTCCTCCTGAACAGAAGGTTGAAATGGAAGACAGGTCCTGTGAAATGGAGGATATGCCCTGGGGAAAAGGAGGACATGTCTGGTCAACCTGCTTGTCTTGCTCTTTTTGCAGCGGTCGCATCTACATTACAGAAAAAGCTAAAAACACTTATAAATGTAAATCCATGCTTCTTAGTCAGGCTCAAAATGGAGGATGTTTTGGAATTCCTCCTGGACAGAAGGTTGAAATGGAGGACAGGTCCTGGGGAAAAAGAGGACACGTCTGGCCAACCTGCTTGTTCTATTCCAGGGGTAGGCAACCTTTTTGAGCCGGGGGCCGGGTTGCTGTCCCTCAGACAATTGACGGGCCGAAGCACCATAAATAAATAAATAAATAAAGAAATAAATAAATATTTTAAAAGAATTTAAAAATTAAAAAAATGCATGCACACTCTCTCAGCCCCAGAAAAGCCATGGCAAAACCCCTGTGAAGATTTTGCCAAGAAAACCCCAAGAACAAGTAATAACAACAATAATCAATATCATGGGGGGGCGGTGGGGGGGGCGGCGGCGGCAGGACCGGTTTGGGGCCGGTCCAAAGGCCTTGCTGGGCCGCATCCGGCCCCCGGGCCTTAGGTTGCCTACCCCTGTTCTATTCTTTTCACAGTGGCTGCATCTACATTGCAAAATAGATATAGTTTGACACCGCTTTAGCTTCACTGGCTCAATGGCGTGGAAATTTTGGATTTGTAATTATGTGAGGTATTTAACCTTCTGTGTCAGAGAGCTCTGGTGCCACGGCAGGCTGCAAATCTCAGGATTTCACAACTGAGAGCCCATACCTGGGGTTGCAGCAACACTCTTGACAAGGATGCCTTTGCTATCTAAGGGTCAGTGTGGCATAGTGGTTTGGGTGTTGGACTCTGACTCTGGAGATCAGGGTTCGAATCCCGGCTCAGCCATGGAAACCCACTGGATGGCCTTGGGCAAGTCACATTTAACATACCTTGCCAACAAATCCCCTTGGTAGGGTTGCATTAGGGTTGCCACAAGTCAGAAATGACTTGAAGGTACACAGCAACATATGGGGAGGGGGCACTTAGTGCTGAATAAACATACAGTAGTTGGAATTGGGGCTTTCATTTAACTGTAACAATTATTACTGCAGGAGCCCAAAGCCTGTAGTGATGACTGGGGTCCAAAACACACTGCAGAAATACTGTAATCCAGTTTGAAACCACTTTAATTGCCTTGGTTCAATGTTAAGGAATTCTGGGAACTAGTTTTGTGAGACATTTAGCCTTCTCTGTCAGAGAGCTCTGGTGCCACAACAAAATACAATTCCCAGGATTCCCTTGCACTGAGCCAGGACAGTAAAGTGATCTCAAAATGGATTATTTCAGCATTGTGTTTTGGACCTAGGCTACAAAGGAACTGTTTTTAGCAAAGGAAATGGCCACGTAGCTGTTCCAGAAAAACAACAGGGAGACTGACAGAAGCCTTCAGAAAGATATGGGGTTTGAATAGAGAAGCCTGGTGTCACAGTATACTGAATTTGATTTATTCAGTGGAATGGCCTTTATTCTCTAAGCAGATGTATCTGTTTAAAGGAATAGTGAAAAATTTAAAGAATGTTCCTAATTAATATTCCTCCTTTCAGACAGTTGCAGTTATTAGTTATTGCCTCAAGCATGCCAGTATTTTGTTTTTTATCAAAAGTTTTCTCATAAAGAAGCTGGATGTGCACAACTCCAAAGTGAACTATACATAAAAATGTATTGTGTGTAACTATTTTTCTTTTTTCGCATACACTTGCTGAAAATTTCATGTAAACATACATTTTACTTCAATTAAACTGTGGATCCTTGTCTCTGGAGATGCACTAATGTTCAGCATTATTAATCGGTGAACATCTGGCTTGCACTGCAGTCCTCCATGAATATATTTGTAAATAAGATCTGTTGAGTTTAATGGGGCATACTTCCAGTTACAGATAGAGGGTTTTGCCTACATATAAAAACACGGGATTGCAGCCTTGTAAAACACTTTAAATGTTGCAACAATCATTTAAAAATGTTATTGAATTATTAGATTTTTTTAAAAAGAGAAGAATGAAAAGATAGAATCATTAAAAAACAGGGAAGCATGTGGGAGTTTTAATGGAATAGCCAGCATGCTTTAGTGGTTTGAGTGTTGGACTACAACTTTGGGGATAAGGGTACAATTCCCCTCTCGGCCATGGAAACTCATTGTGTGACTTTGAGCAAGTCACACTCTCAGCCCCAGTAAAGACTGTGATAGGGTCACCAGAAGTCAGAAACAACTTGAAGGCACACAACAGCAGGCATATATTTGTTAATTTAAAATAAACAACCATACCCCCCCCCCGGCAGATCTGTTTAGAACTGGTGTTTGTAAAATACTTGTGTATATGTTCATATAGTAAGATCTTTTGACCAATGACTGACATTTCAAATTTGCCTTTCCAGCCTTGAGATAAATACCTTTTTGCTATAATAAGGACATACACATCCAGCCAGTCTGACCATCAGTTATTTCAAGTTACAAAAATGCATATGCTTCTACAAGAATCATTTTTTTTTTAAAAAAGTAGAAATTAATACACTGGAATATATCCATTTTTGGTAGTATTTGCTCACAACTAACTTGGCATGTATGTGGCCATCTACTTGAGTTCAGTGCTGTTGCAACACCACTAGCTGGGTGGCATTGTAGCTAGCATACTGGATGTATCCTAATGGATTTGGAAGATTTCTCAGTGTTTATTTGGATTTCATGCAATCATTGGATTTTCTACATGCATGTTAGTGTTAATGCAAATGTTAGTGCTAATTCAATTATGAAGGAAGATCTTGTCTCCCCAAATATATGGAGATATGCATGTGTGATGCTGGTAGGACTAGAGAACCGGCCATCAATTTAACTCACTTTGTAGTATTACCTCCAAATTATTTTTGTGCTGTTGGAGTGAAGTGCTTTGCAGCAGTTTTGGTAGTATCCAACTGTTGTTGGGTTGGCCACAGTGCTGCACAATAAAACTTGGAAGGAGAAATATATTTTAGGCTTGTGTTCTGAGCATCACTTCTTATAGAGTGCACAGTCTGGGCAGGATTTCTGTTAAATCTGAGCAAGGATACACAATTTAATATTTTCCCAATCTTGTTTAATAGGAACTACAGTACTACTGTTTAGGAGCCTGCAGCATGGCGTAGTGGTTTGAGTGTTGGACTATGGCTCTAGAGATCAGGTTTTGAATCCCTGCTCGGCCATGGAAACCCACTGGCTGACCTTGGGTGATTCACATTCTCTTAGCCTCAGAGGAAGGCAAAGGCAACCCTACTGTACAAATCTTGGCAAGAATATCTGTGATAGGTCTCAAGAATATAGGTCTCTGTGAGTTGGAAACAATTTGAAGGCACACAACAACTACTACTGTTTGGCCTTTGTGTTTAAAAAATCGTTTTGCATGCAGAGGACATTAGCCTAAACCCTAAAGCAGGGGTAGGCAACCTTTCCCCTTTAAGGGCCGAGGGACTTCAGCTCCCAGAATCCCAAGAGTTGTTGGCCAACATGGGACTATTGGCCAACATGGCTGAGGCTTCTGGGAGCTGAAGTCCCTCGGCCCTTAAAGGGGAAAGGTTGCCTACCCCTGCCCTAAAGCATCTATCAGCATCAGATCCACTTCTGATATGTGGTATAGATAGCATAATGCAGTAGTCCCCAACCTTTTTATTGCCGTAGACCGGTCAACGTTTGATAATTTTTCCGTGGCCCGCTGGGGGGGGGGGGTTGCGGCCTTGCGTTGATTATTAAATCAAAACAATCTCAAATATAAACAATTTTAATTTAATTGTATTTAAACATGGCATCAAAATAAAATACAGTTACAACAAAATTAACTTAATTAAACCGATACTTCTATTCAAGTACTCACTGATACCAATTACCATTACCTAGCTACTTGCCAGCTCAAACATGTCACCAGACACCACTGCTATATATTGGGGGCATAGTTTGCGTTTTTGGGGACACTGTGTAGCTGATCAGCTGGGCCGGGGCACGTCGGCAGACGCAGGAGTCCCGTCCCTGCGCTTATTATTGGGACTCGTAGGACTTGCAAAAGTCGCAGGACCCGCCACCACCACTGCACAGAAGACGCAGTAGCAGGGCGGCCCGGTACCATTTGTTCTGCGGACCGGGGGTTGGGGACCACTGGCATAATGTATATTTGCATCTGTGGGCTCTATTGATGTTATGCATCTGCTTGTTGATGATATATTCAACTCTTCTGTGCAAATAGTGTGATTGTGTTGATGTTATATTGAGCTATTCTGTGAAAATAGTGTGATTGCTGGATTTGTGCTAGGTTATCTCATAAAAGGCCTGAGAGAACAAAGAAATGTTCCAGTCCTACCAACATTGTCCCTGGAAAATTTGCCTTGCTCTGTTAAGTAGTTTCTGAGAAGAGCTATCTTGTTCAAGACAATGTTTATCTATAGGCATGTGGAAAGGTGATACTCAACAAAGGAAGATTTCTCTTGACCCACTAACCTACTTCCCTACAACTTTACTCTTCAGTAACTGTACTGTTAAAAAGAAACCACTTGAATATGATGCTTACTCTTCTGCAGAATGTCTCCCTGCTCAATAGTTGTTTATAAATAATGTTGTCTCCCGTCTATCAGTCCATAACAAAAATGCTTAATCTTGACTATTGAATTAGATTTTAGCTTAGATAAGAGCATCCCATATCAGTCTTATTGCAGGCGTACAGTGGGCCCTTGGTATCTGCTGAGGTTTGGTTCCAGGACTCCCTGTGGGTACCAAAATCTGTGGATGTTGAAGTCCCATTAAATATAATGGATAGTAAAATGGTGTTCCTTATATAAAATGACAAAATCATGGTTTGCTTTTCAGAATTTATATATTTTTTGAATATTTTCAAGCCATGCATGCTTGAATCCATGGATAAGGAATCCATGGATATGGAGGGCTGACTGTATTTCTAAACACCAATTTCCTTCATTAGTTTGCCGAATGCCAGATTTGTACCAAAGATAAAAATATAATCCAGAATCTCTTTAAAAAGCAGAGAATCTGTTTATCACCATCCTGATCTGTTTACTACTGTTTTGTATGGATTCACTTAGTGGTCTGTAATCTATTTATTGTAATTATTTATTCAAGCCAGTTTTTTTCTTGGATTTTCTGCCTAGGCTCTGACAATGCTTGTGAGAAGACTTCGTTTATGTTTCTGCGACAAGAGTTGCCTGTAAGATTGGCAAACATAATGAAAGAAATTAGTTTGCTTCCAGATAACCTTCTGAAAACACCCTCAGTTCAACTTGTCCAAAGCTGGTAAGAATCTTTTAAAAAGTGTCTAAGACAAAACTGGAGCAGTGAATGTATGTCATGATGAAGACCTGAATTCCATTGCTGGATCCAAGTCAAGTAAACCTACTCAGTCACCTTATGTAAAAACTTCTGTAAATCACTTTTATTCAGTGAGTCTGTCCCAGTTGGGTCTAGCAGTTGGATTTGTGTGTATGTATGTGTCTTCAAGTTGCCTGTCAACCTAAGATGACCCCATGAATTTCATAGGGTTTTCTTAGGTAAGGAGTATCAGAGGTGGTTTTGCCAGTTCCTTCTTTTGAAATACAGCCTATAGCACCTGGCATTCATTAGGTGGTCTCCTATCCGAGTACTAACGAGGGATGACCCAGGGCTGACTCTTGGAGACCAGGGTTTGAATTCTTGCTCATCTGTGAAAACTGAGTGACCTTGGGCAAGTCACACTCTTTCTACCTCTGAGAAAAGCAAAGGCAAGCCCCCCTCTGAACAAATCTTGCAAATAAAATCCTAAGATAGAGTGTCTAGAAAGTGGACTTGACTTGAAGGCATGTAACAAGAAGTCTGGCTGGACCATCATTTTTCCATCCCCCGCAAAAAAAGAAAAAAAGAAATGAAAAGTAAATTGCCTTTCCTGGAGCAGGTCATCTTTTGAATAGGTTGCAGTCCCCCTGCTTTGTTTAATATTGCCACCTTCATTTTTCAAAAACAGAAGTGGACTTCTGGCCATTCTGTCTTTTGTTATATTTTATTTCTTGTAGTCTATGCAGCCCCCAGAAGGTCCCAGAAGCAGATAATTAGTCCTCACAGCAGTTTTTTGTCCTTAGACTAAGCATAAATTTGCATGAGCTGGGAATGAGTCCCAGCTTTGTGTGCTGCTCTCTCCTGTGTATATTGGGAAGATAGATACTAGCCTTGGCTGTAAGCCCTCATGAGCAAAAGCAAGATCCCTGGCATGTTGTTCCCACTCCATTTTGATTTCTCAGGTGAAAAACATTTGTCCTCACAATATAAAACAATCCAACTTTAAATCATGATTTTGAAGAGACTTGTTTAAACGAACTGTAATAGTGTTAGCTATCATTTCAGGTCTGGACAACATGGCAAACTTTTAACCAAAAGCAGAAAACTAAAATTAAACTCTTCTCAGCCAAATCGGAGTGGAAGGGATGAAGTGTCTAAGCCCCAGAATCTTTTTTTTTCCAGGAGTGGGGAGGGAGTGACTGATGGTACCCCTTTACATTCACTTGTGGGAAAAGATTTGGCAATCAAAATCAGAGCCTTTACTCTTTGCCCTATTCTTTTAGTGAACTCATATTCTTTTCCTTAGTAGTTAGAAAATGTTAGAAGAAAATGGTTAATTATTGACGACAACCAGCCATGTGGAAATTGTATTTTTAGGTATGTCCAAAGTCTTCAGGAAATCCTTGATTTTAAAGACAAAAGTTCTGAAGATTCAGAAGCTGTTTCTTGGTAAGCATATTTTGCCATATTATTTTAATATGCTGTAGAAATAGATTCTCTAAGCAAAACTTGCCTTTCATTTTTTATATTTTCTTTGTTTCTTGATTACTTAAAGAGCACAGATGCAGAACTGCTCTTGTTCATCTGCTGTACAGTATGTTCTGGTGATATTTAAAGTTATGTTTTTGGTGAAAAGTATATTTAAGAAGTCTGCAAATAGAAGGCCCTGGAAAAGAACAGGGGAAACTAGAGTAAACTATACCTCCTGAGGAGATTTGTAGAAACTTACTTCCTTTTATCTGTTTCCAGATATTGTAAGATTTGTTGGATTAGAAGGAGTGTAGACGCATCTCAAGGAATTTTCTGAACTGATGGGTCTTTTGGTTCTATCCCTAACTAAGGCTTTTATAAAGCACGTGATAATGTGCTTGAGAAGTTAAACTTAGTCTGTATGACACACACACACACACACACACACATACACACAAACAGATTTTTGTTTTCCTCTTTGGGCAGTATGATTTTGGATTTCCTGACCCATTAGAATACAGATTCAAAGATTTTTTAACTTATGAAATGTGCCAAAAAAAAATCTTATGAAAAAGAATCCTGCCATCTTAAGAGTTGGAATGGGCTTTATGAGCCTTCAAGTCCAATCCCTGCTCAGTGCAGGACAAAGCATCCCCAGCAGGTAGCTGTCCAGCTTCTCTTTGAAGATGTTCAAAGAAGGAGATCCTGCCACTTCTGGCAATTGTTTCCATTGCTGAACTGCTCTTACTTTCAAGAACTTCCTTCCAGCGTTCAACCAAAATTACTCTCCTGTAACAAACTACTAGACTTGCTTCTACCCTCTGGGGCAGCAGAGAATAGGCCTGCCCACTCCTCTCTGTGACAGTCATTGAGGTATTTAAATAGTGCAGTCAGGTAACTCCTTAGTCTTCTCTTCATCAAGCTGAACAAGCTGATCTCCTTCAACCTTTGTATGTTTGTTCTCTATACTTTTTACCATCTTTTTTACCCCTTTCTGAACCTGCTCCAACTTGTCTACATCCTTCTTAAAATGAGACATCTAGCACTGAACACAGTACTGCAGATGAATAGATGACCTGTGAAGAATATAGTGGGACTACTACTTCCCTTGACTTGGAAACTATCCTTCTATTAATGCAAGCTAAAATAGCATTCACCTTCTTTGCTGCAGCATCACACTGCTGGCTTCTGTTCAACTTATGATAATAGTAATCCCAGGTCCTTTTCACATGTACTGCAGAGCCATGCTTCCCCATTCTATACTTGTGCATTTGTTTTTGTGTCCTAAATGTGGAGGTTTGTATTTCTCTTGAATTCCATTCTATTAATTTATGCTCAGTTTTGTAGTTTATCTAGGTCCTTTTGAATTCTGTTTTTATTTTCCATTGTGTTAGCTACCCTCCCAGTTTTGTATCAACTGCAAATT